GCCTTCTCTGCCTCAAGGGGCATGCCAACCCCCTACAGCCTTGTGTCTTTTGCAGGAGGGCCACATCTGGGGGCCCTGGACCCTGTGCCACTCCCTTTGTCCCTTGTGGAGATGCCACCACAGCTACGGGATGCCACTGTGTGCCAGGCCAAGCCCCTCCTGCTGTCCAACTCAAGGGTAGTGTCTGTACCATCTCATGCCATGGACACATGACCCCCCCCCCCATCATTTCCTTTCCTCCTCTGAGAGGGGCTTCTTCTCTCCTCTCCTCCTGCCTCAAGCCCCCTGCCCTCCCTCCCCCCTCCCTTTGGCTCCCAGGGAGGCGGCAATCCTCGAAGCCCACCCCTTGGGACTCACTTGGGCCTGCCCGCAGGCCTCCTGGCCTCGGCTGAGGCTCCCGTTGGCCCTCCAGAGCTGGGCCAGCGCCTGCTCCGTCCGGACTAGCCACTCTTGGAAGGCGTCCCCCGACTCTTGGAAGGCCTGAGCGGCAGGAAGGATGCGCTCCAGGGAGCAGTGCCTGTGGGGGGAGGAAGGCAGGAAGGGTCTATATTCCCTCTCCCCCACTCGAGGAATATTATAGAGCTGTTGCCACTTCTGAGCCCTCGGCTACCAAGAAACCTTTGCTCCCAGAAGAAAGACCCTTCCCCTGCCGGCATCAGAACAAGCACAACGAGAGCCTCGGCGGGCAGGACAGACTGGCTGGGAAGGGTGGCTCATGCTCCAGAGGATCTAAAGTGGACGGAGCCGATGACAGAACTGACCAGTCAAAACTAACAAAGGGAACTTCAACAGGGAGTTTAAAAAGAAATACCCAGATCCAGGAAAGGGGAAAAGGATCTAAGAGTATTGTCGAAGGTTTTCATGGCTGGAATCACTGAGTTGTTGTAGGTTTTTCAGGCTATATGGACATGTTCTAAAAGCATTCTCTCCTGATGTTTCGCCTGCATCTATGGTAAGCATCCTCACAATCTCTGAGGAGAGGCAAAACATCAGGAGAGAATGCTTCTATAACATGATCTAAGAGTAGATCACAAGCTGAATGGGAGATAGGGGCGTGATGCGATAGCTTAAAAAGCCAAGGCAATGTTAGGCTGCGTCCATAGGAGCAAAGTGTTGCTTGAGATCAAGAGAAGTTGTGGTCCTGCTCTCTTCTGCTTTGGCCAGGCCTCAACTGGAATAATCCTATGTCCAGTTCTGGGCAGCAAGATTCAAGAAGGATATCGACCAGCTGGAAGGTGACCAGAGAAGGTCACCCAAAATGGCCAAACGCCTGGAAATGATAAATCTGAGGAGCATCAGAGGGAGATGGGGGTGTTTAGCCTGGAGGAGAGACACCCCCATCTCCCTCTGCTGCTCCTCAGATTTATGATTTCCAGACCTTTGGCCATTTTGAGTGACCTTCTTTGGACACCTCCCAGCTGGGAGAAGGGCACAGGGGAGGCAGGTTTCAATATTGGAATGGAAGTCACATTGAGGAGGGGGCTCCTTCAGAGACAAGGACCCAATGGAGCCATGGATTCAAAGTGTGGTAACAAAGATTCCACTCAAACCCTGGGAAGAACATCCTGACAATGAGAGTGAGGGCGTCTTCCTGGATAGCAGGATGGGCTTTGACTGGGTGGTCCTCTGGATTGCCTTCTGATAGTAACGAAAGGAGGCAAATGGGCAAGGAGAGCAGCCCAATGAGTCAGCCGGTCATCCCATTCCCTAGACACACAGGGAGGTGGGCAGCTGGGGTCAGACAGTCCTAATGACTCCAGAGACCGGATGAGGACCGGAAGGAAGCGCTGAGCGAGGAAGCGGCTTTGGGTAAGGGGTTTAGCCCATGGCAGGTGGCGAGGCGGAGGAAGAGGATTTGGGGCCCAAGCAGCAGGATCCCAGCTGCCTTCCAGCCCCTCTGCTCTGGGCCTGGCTGACCTGCTCAAGGGGCTCCTTGGGTCAGGCAGGGGTCAGGCTCCAGCAAAGGGGGGGGCAACCAGGAAAGGCCAGAGCCCGGGCGCATTAAGAAATAATTCTGACCATTTACATACATAAGACAAACAGAAATGGTCACTTCAGGCAGGAAACAGAAATACCACTTGAATAACAGTATTAAAACTTAAACGATGGATTAGTGGACAGCTACAAATGGGTGCAGCCATGGGCTGGCTGACCCAAACATGGGGTGCAGACCCTAAATTAATAAGAACATCAGCCCTGGCCTTGCCTTACTTAGCTGCTGAGTATGCTTGTCCAGTTTGGCATAAGTCTGCCCACACAAAACAGGTAAACGTAGCATTGAAGGAAACATGCAGAAGAATCACAGGATGTCTTAAGCCTACACCTCTTGCAGTTTTCTCAAGTCGCTCCTGACACGACCAACCAACAACCTCTTGATAAACTCTCATTGAACGAAACATGCAGAATAATCACAGGATGTCATAAACCTACACCTCTTGATAAACTCTCATTGAATGAAACATGCAGAATAATCACAGGATGTCTTAAATCTATACCTCTTGATAAACTCTCATTGAATGAAACATGCAGAATAATCACAGTATGTCTTCAACCTACACCTCTTGATAAACTCTCATTGAATGAAACATGCAGAATAATCACAAGAAGTCTTAAACCTACACCTCCTGATAAATTCTCATTGAACGAAACATGCAGAATAATCACAGGATGTCTTAAACCTACACCTGTGATAAACTCTCATTGAATGAAACATGCAGAATAATCACAGGATGTCTTAAACCTACACCTCTTGATAAACTCTCATTGAATGAAACATGCAGAATAATCACAGGATGTCTTAAACCTACACCTCTTGATAAACTCTCATTGAATGAAACATGCAGAATAATCACAGGATGTCTTAAACCTACACCTCTTGATAAACTCTCATTGAATGAAACATGCAGAATAATCACAGGATGTCTTAAACCTACACCTCTTGATAAACTCTCATTGAATGAAACATGCAGAATAATCACAGGATGTCTTAAACCTACACCTCTTGATAAACTCTCATTGAATGAAACATGCAGAATAATCACAGGATGTCTTAAACCTACACCTCTTGATAAACTCTCATTGAACGAAACATGCAGAATAATCACAGGATGTCTTAAACCTACACCTGTTGGTAAACTCATTGAACTAAACATGCAGAATAATCACAGGATGTCTTAAACCTACACCTCTTGATAAACTCATTGAACGAAACATGCATAAAAAATAAATGGCTGACCCCAATGGTTGACATAGCATTGAATGAAACATGCAGAATAATCACAGGATGTCTTAAACCTTTGGCATAAGTCTACCCATGAAGCAGGTGAACATAGCATTGAATGAAACATGCAGAATAATCACAGGATGTCTTAAACCTACATCTTTTGATAAACTCTACAAGCTAGCTGGCATTGCCCCCCCCCCCCCATGTGTGATGGGAAGTTGCTGCTAAATGTGAGACAAATAAGGTTGAACCCTGTGAAAGAACCCCAATGCATGGCTACAAGCCTCCTCCCAGTAGACTCAAATCAAGGAAAGGCTTTATGAGAACTATCACTCCTCTTGGCGTCCCCCCAGCAACAGCAAGGGTATCCCTCTGGGCAGCTAAACCAGGAAATCCCAACTGGATGGCCCCCCACGAGGGTCTTCCTCCAGGGGCAAACCAAGAATGGGCAACCTGGAAGTCCCTGAACAGACTCAGAAGTGGAGTGGGCAGATCAAAAGACAACCTGGCAAAATGGCACTACCTAAAAGAATCCCACACCTTGTGTGACTGGAGCAGAACAGACAACTCTGCATCTGTATGCTTGTCCACTATGCCCTGCCTCATGTACAGAGGAAGAATTGTTGGAGGCTACAGACAATGCGGTCGCTGTTGCCCGTTTTTGGTCAAAAGATATTTAGCCGCCTGCGCTCCTTCTATTTTTATCAGTTTTATATTAATTTATGCAATACTTTTGATACGAAATAAATAAATAAAATAAATGGGCTAGCTGCCCAGGTGGGAAGGGGAAATCCAGCTGGACTCAAGAGGCCTTTGCTGCTGCCTGGGCTCCGCTGGGCCCTCTGGCCACTCACTCACCTGGCTTCCGCCTCCTGGACCAGGAAAGCCCACTTCTCCCGGAGGCTGCAGAGGCCCCGGCCCTTGTCCCAGCCCTGCTGCTCTGTGGGGCCACTGGCCTCGGGCGGCGCTTGCAACTTCCTCTCCTGCAGGAGGCTCTCCACGTGGGACCGCCGCTCGTCCAGCAGGCGCCGCAGGAGCTGCCAGGGGATGAGGAGAAGGGGCTTCTTTAGGGGGGGGGGGCTTAGAAGCACGGCCCCTTGGCCCTGCAGCCCGCTCTGTGCTTGGAAGCCCACCTTTTGCTCCTGCAGCTGAGCTTTCACCACCTTGGCCTCGGAAGAGGGGGGCTTCTGGCCGGCCACCAGGTCCTCCATGTCCCCCACCCAGGACAGCAGCTTCCCCAGGCTCTCCTGGTCACGGCCCCACGGGGGCCCCACGGCAAAAGCAGACACCTGGGGGGAGCGGAAGAGAGAGACCCTGACTCTGAGCAGCAGCACCAGAAGCAAGGGCCATGTCCCTCCCCGACTCCCTTGCGCTTCCGTGGCTCTCAAAACACACAAGGAAGGGTTGTCCCTCCTGGACCAGGTGAACTTCCTAAATCCTGAAGGAAACCAAGCAAGATGCCCCACTGCCTAAGGCTGCTTCCCCCTTCTTCTTCTTCCCAAAAGTCTTTAGCGTGCCTTCATAACCCCCCTCTCTCACTGCCTGAAGATGGCTGGCACACAGAAGTGGGAGAACCAGTCTGAGGGACTCTTTGGCCAAAGTCAGGCCACTTTCATTGGCCTATCTTAGTGCTTCCCAACCTTTCTTTGATCAGGTATGACTTTGACCACTCTCCAACATTAGTTCCAAAAGGGTTACGAATCAGTTTTTGGTCAACTTTAGATTTGGTTTGGTTCTTTGAGGTGTGGATTCAGAAAACAGCATTGGAGGACCACATCATCTCTAGTTTCTGATAAAGAACATAAACCATCCAGTGGTCACCATCTGCTCGCCCCAGAAAACCATATTTAATAATCTAGAGCTGTGGACCTTATAAAACCAGTAGGTCCACAAGTAGGCCACGGCCCACAGATTGAGAACCACTGATCCATCCATTGTTTTATCCAAGATGGAGTCCCTGAAGCAATACAACTAGACTAGAGTGTCTTGTTTATTTCCACAGTTCCTCTACAGCACTCTCCCAGAGGAGCCCAATATTCATTCAAATATTCAATATTCAATTCAAAATTCAAAACAGCATTGGAGAGACCACATCAGCTCTAGTTTCTGGTGTTGGTGGTCAGGAAAAGAGATTGAAAGATGGGCTCAAAGCCAACGTTAAAAACTCTGGCATAGACAATGAGAACTGGGAAGCCCTGGCCCTTGAGTGCTCCACCTGGAGGTCAGCTGTGACCAGCAGTGCTGTTACGAATGGAGGGCGAAAGGGAGAAACATGACAAGAGGAAGGCGCATCAAGCCAACCCCGGCCAGGACCGCCTTCCACCTGGAAACCAATGCCCTCACTGAGGGAGAACATTTAGGTCAAGAATTGTGCTCTACAGTCACCTACGGACCCACCACCAGGACACTACACTTGGAGGACCATCATCCTCGGACTACGAGGGATCGGCTAAGTAAGTAAGTAACCCAGTTTAAAGCAGAAAACCTGGGATCAGAACCTAGAATATAACCTGGTCTCTTGATCCCACATGATCCGCTTTGAACTGGGATATATGGCAGTGTGGACTCAGAGAACCCAGTTCAAAGCAGACCTTGTGGGTTATTCAGCCCAAGACTCAACGGGAGGCTCTGCTCCTTGCCTTGGGGCAGGGTCTTTCAGGGAGTTAGGGTTCAAAGGGGACCCCCAGAGGCTCTCCAGTGGACCACCTTCCTGGAAGGCAGGAAGGCAAAATGTAAACAAATGGAGGGCGAAAGGGAGAAATGTGCCAAGAGGAAGGTGCATCAAGCCAACCCTGACTCTCGGGACCATCTTCTGTTTGCAAACCGATGCCCTCACTGCGGGAGAAGATGCAGGTCAAGAATCGGGCTCCACAGTCACCTGTGGACCCACCGCCAGGACACCAAACTTGGAAGACTATCCTACTCGGTCAACGGGGGACCGCCTAAGTAAGTAAGCAAGTCTGATACAGAACATAAACGATGCAGTAGTCCCCACAGAAACCATATTTAATCATCTAAAGCTGTGGACCTTATCTTAGGACGGGCCGCGGCCCACAGGTTGGCAACCACTGGTCTATCCATTATTTTAGCCAAGATGGAGTCCCTGTAGACTAGACTAGAGCCTGCTGTTTCSTTCCATAAGCTCCTTCCTCTACAGCACTGGCTCTGCTGGACTCTACTCTCCCAGAGGAGCCCAATATTCCTACACAGAGAGTGYCCASKCCCACCCKCCCKKCCCCCCCGCAGCACCCCAGCACGCCATGTGACACGARCCCCAGGATGGAGTGGGGGAGGGTCTTCCTGAGGGATGGGATGGGGCCAGAGCACCGAGCAGGGTCTCGGCTCCCCCCTCAGGAGGGCGGCCTATTGACCTGGGGTAGGGCTCCAGCGCCGTCCGTCAGGACCTTGACCGTCCTGGTGACGAGGGGCTCCCGGCTCTTGTCTCCTCCGGGAAACTCGGTCACCTCCACGATCTCTGTCACGATGGTCTCGGTCACTTCAGTCACCTCGGTCACCTCAGTGGTGGTGAGGGGCTTCCATGGCCAGAGGCCTCCGGGGGGCCCCACGGCTGGGCTCCAGGCCACTCCGGCCGCCTCCAGCTGGGCCTTGAGCGGGTTGCAGCTGAGGCTGCCGTTCTGCACCTTGACGTCCTGGTTGTTCTGCTTGGGGAGGGGGCTGCCGTGGAGGGCCATGCCGGGCCCCGCCAGGGCCGCGCTCCAGCCATTCTCGATCACCACGGGGCTCAGGGGGGGCTTCTCCGGGGGTCCCGGGCAGCCCTCTGCATTGTTCCTTCCTGCCGAGCGGCGGCCGGGTGCCAGGCCCAAGTCCTTCAGGTAGGAGTCCTTCAGGAAGTCCTCTGACCGGCGGCTCTTCTCCCCCAGGCAGCTGGGCCGGCTCCCTGAGTTGCCCATGGGTGGTGGCCGAGGGCCAGGAGAGGGGCGGCCTGGCCTGAGGCCCCAAAGGGCCACACACAAGGCCCAGATCTACCAAGGAGGAGGAGAGCCGGGAAAGGCAGGCTGGGTGTCCAGGCGGAGGGACGGAGAGGCTGCCGGACGAAGCCGTGATCTGGGCTGGGTCCGGCTTTGGAAGCCCCTTCCTTCCTGGAGGAGCTCTCTCTCTTTCTTTCTCTCTCTTTTCCCTGAGTCCCTGCAGAAGAGGAAAGGCTTCAGAGGGTCAAGGGTCTAGGCAGGCAGGGCCAGGCCCACTCAGGTTGGCTGAGGAAGAGCCCCGGACCCCCGCCATGGTGGGCTCCCCTGCGCCAGAGCCTGGGTGCCTTTGGAAGCAAATGGCAGCATCCCTCCTTAGAGGTGGGAAGGAGCCCCCCACCCCCACCCCTTGCGGTCCTGCCTTCCCCAAACTTGTGGGGTAACTGCCTGGCTCTCCTGGAAGCCCCCCCCCCTAGGAAGAGCAGGATGAGGCCTCTTCCCTCCTCTCCTATCAACCCCCCCCCTCGTGGCCTGGATACAGGGGAGGAGGGGTGGCAGATGGGGCAGATGGGGACTCCCCGACTTGGGCCCTGGATTAAGGAGGGGGGGCTCAAGCAGGGGGGAGCAGGGGCAGAAGCCTTGGGCCACTTGGCTGCCTGGCTGGCAGGTGTGTGGGGGGGGTCTTCTTCTCCAGCCCCCCCACCTGGAGTGGTGGGGGGGGTCTCAAGCAGTGGGGCTGGGGAGGGAGCAGAAGCCCTGGCTGGCGAGTGTGGGGGGGTCTTCCACTCCAGCCTCCCACCTGGAGTGGGGGGTCTCAAGCAGGGGGGCCGGGGAGGGGGCAGAAGCCCTGGCTGGCGGGTGTGAGGTGTGGGGGGGGTCTTCTTCTCCAGCCCCCCCACCTGGAGTGGTGGGGGGGGTCTCAAGCAGTGGGGCTGGGGAGGGAGCAGAAGCCCTGGCTGGCGAGTGTGGGGGGGGTCTTCTTCTCCAGCCCCCCCACCTGGAGTGGTGGGGGGGGTCTCAAGCAGTGGGGCTGGGGAGGGAGCAGAAGACCCTGGCTGGCGAGTGTGGGGGGGTCTTCCACTCCAGCCTCCCACCTGGAGTGGGGGGTCTCAAGCAGTGGGGCGGGGAGGGGGCAGAACCCTGGCTGGCGGGTGGGGGGGTCTTTCTCTCCAGCCTCCCCACCTGGAGTGGGGGGGGGTCTCTCAAGCAGGGGGGCTGGGGAGGGGGCAGAAGCCCTGGCTGGCGGGTGTGAGGGGGGGTGTTGGGGGGGGTCTCAAAATCCAGCCCCCCCACCTGGAGTGGTGGGGGGGGTCTCAAGCAGTGGGGCTGGGGAGGGAGCAGAAGCCCTGGCTGGCGAGTGTGGGGGGGTCTTCCACTCCAGCCTCCCACCTGGAGTGGGGGGTCTCAAGCAGGGGGGCCGGGGAGGGGGCAGAAGCCCTGGCTGGCGGGTGTGGTGGGGGCTTCCTCTCCAGCCCCAGGATGTGGGGGGTCTCAAGCAGGGCGGGTGGGGGGGGCAGAAGCATGGCGACGGCGTTGTGCTTGGTGGGCTCTTCCTCTCCAGCCTCAAACCCTGGAGTGGATGGGGGGGGGGGTTCAAGCAGCGGGAGGCTGGGGTACGCGCGATAGACGCCTGGATGGGCGGCCGGGGGGTGTCGGGGTCTTCAGTCCACTCGTCCATCCAACCTGGGCGTGGTGGGGGGGGGTCATCACAGACCCTCCTAGTGATGGGGCAGGAGGGGCAGAGAAACCTCGTGCGCGGCTCCTGGTTCTTGCGCTCCGAGGCCGGAGTGGGCTGGGGCGGGGGCTGCGGGTCCGGCAAGGGCAGGAGACCCTTCCCCGAGCGGGACGGGGGGTTCGCCTCCAGGGAAGCCGGGCTGCCGTTGACGCAGGCCAAGCAGTGGGGATGGGGGGGGGCAGAAGCATTTTTCCTCCTGGCGGGTGTGAGGGGGGTCTTCCTCTCCAGCCCCCTTCCCTCTCGCCTGGCCTACTCCCCCGCCCCCCCTCCTTCCTTGAGAGAACTCTGAGTAAGGGGAGGGGGGGTCACTCACCCACCCGCGCCTGCCCCCCCCCCCCCCCGCTTTCCAAAGTTTCCTACTTCTCCAGAAAGAGGCACCTGCGGCCTCGACGGGGAGGGAGGGAGGGAGGGAGGGAGGGGGCGGGCGCACCTGCGGACACCTCTGGCACCCCCGGCAAGGCTCCGGCTTCCGCAGCAAGAGACCCTTCCTCTTTCTCTTCCTCTTCCTCTTCCTCCTGGGGCCAAGACCCTCCGCCTCTCCCTCCGCCCGCCCTGAAAGAGGCAGGGAGGGAGGGAGGACCCGGCGTTACTGGGGCAACCCCGAGGGACCGCGCAGGCATCCCGCCGAGGGAAGGGGGGAGAAGGAGGGGGGAGGGAGGGAGGGTCCCCGGCGCCAGGCCACGCCCCCTCCCCAGCCCCCTCCCCACCCCACCAAAGCAAGAAGGCAGGCAGGTGCGCGCTGGCTTGCTTCCCCTGCCTCCTTCCTCCTTCCCTCTTCCTCTTCCTCCTCCAAAGGACACCCAGCCCTGCCCCTCCTTTCTGCCTTGCAAGCCCTCCCGACAGAGGCCCATCTCCTCGTCCTGCTTAGACACCTCCAGAGAGGATCCACCAGGCTGCGGGCAACACCTGCCTCTGCAGGACGGGCCTCGGGAAGGAGCCAGGTGGGGAGTGTTGGATGGCCCCGTCCTGGCAGCACATTCTCCTGACCTTCCGCTTTGCTGTTGTGTATTTGTTCAGTCGTTTCTGACTCTTCGTGACTTCATGGACCATCCCATGCCAGAGCTCCCTGTCGGCCGTCACCACCCCCAGCTCCTTCAAGGTCAAGCCAGTCACTTCAAGGATAACATCCATCCATCTTGCCCTTGGTCAGCCTCTCTTCCTTTTTCCTTCATATATTGACTTTTTTGTTTTTAACTTTTCTGTAGTTGTTTATTTCTTCAGTCGCTTTCGACTCTTCATGACCTCCTGGACCAACCCATGCCAGAGCTCCCTGTCGGCCTCACCACCCCAGCTCCTTCAAGGTCAAGCCAGTCACTTCAAGGATGCCATCCATCCATCTTGCCCTTGGTCGGCCCCTCTTCCTTGTTCCTTCCATTTTCCCCAGCATCATTTTCTCTAAGCTTTCCTTTCTTCTCATGATGTGGCCAAAGTACTTCATCTTGGCCTCTCATCTCCTTCCCTCCAGTGAGCAGTCCAAGCCAGAGCTCATGTTAGGCAGTCAATACACACCCAGCTCCCAGGTCAAGCAGGCACATTCACGGAGCACATCATCCACCTGACCATGGTTGGCCTCCCTTCTTCCATTCCGGCATACTGGGCTTCTCTAAGGTTATTCCCTCTCATGATTGGCTGGACACAGTCACCATGTCTTCTTGTTAAATGCTAACACTAGTAACATTCCAAACATTTTATTACACATCATAGTTGCATGTTGGGATATCAAGGAGAGATGGTGGACATTGACTACGTGTTAACTCTTAAGTAAACCCCAGCTCTTTGAAGTTGTTGTTGTCGTTCATTCGTTCAGTCGTCTCTGACTCTTCGTGACCTCATGGAGCACACCACGCCAGAGCTCCCTGTCAGCCGTCACCACCCCCAGCTCCTTCAGTCAAGCCAGTCACTTCAAGGATACCATCCATCCATCTTGCCCTTGGTCGCCCTCTTCCTTTTTCCCCAGTTCATTGTCTTCTCCAAGCTTTCCCGTCTTCTCATTCAGTCACTTTCGACTCTTTATGACCTCCTGGACCAGCCCAGGCCAGAGCGTCCTGTCGGCCGTCACCACCCCCAGCTCCTTCAAGGGCAATCCAGTCCCTTCAAGGATGCCATCCACCCGCCTTGCCCCTTGTTTGGCCCCTCTTCCTTTGTCCTTCCATTTCCCCCAGCATCATTGTCTTCTCCAAGGTCTCCAGTCTCCTCATGATGTGGCCAAAGTACCTCATCTTGGCCTCTACTATCATTCCCTCCAATGCTCAACCAGATATTATTTCCTGGAGGATAGACTGGTTAGATCTTCCGGCGGTCCAAGGCACTCTCAGAACGTTCCTCCAACAATTAATTATAACAATAATTAATAACAACAATAATAATTATTAATAATAATAATCTGTTGTTGTTGTTCATTCGTTCAGTCGTTTCCAACTCTTCATGACCTCCAGGACCATGCCAGGCCAGAGCTCCCTGTCGGCCATGGTCACCCCCAGCTCCTTCAAGGTCAAGCCATTCCCTTCAAGGATACCATCCCTCTATCTTGTATCCTTGTTGTTGTTGTTCATTCGTTCAGTCGTCTCCGACTCTTCGTGACCTCATGGACCAGCCCACGCCAGAGCTCCCTGTAGGCCGTCACCACCCCCAGCTCCTTCAAGGTCAGTCCAGTCACTTCAAGGATGCCATCCCTCCACCTTGCCCTTGGTCAACCCCTCTTCCTTTGTCCTTCCATTTCCCCCAGCATCATTGTCTTCTCCAAGCTCTCCTGTCTCCTCATGATGTGGCCAAAGGACTTCATCTTGGCCTCTCATCTCCTTCCCTCCAGTGAGCTGCCAGTCTTTCTTTCCTGAAGTATAGACTGGTTGGCTCTTCTCAGATGTTATAGAACTGCCCAATTCTAATTCCCTAAAGAAAGAAAGACCTCCTTGGTGACCTCCTCGACCAGTCCAGGCCAGAGCCCCCTGTTGGTTGTGGCCACCCCCAGCTCCTTCAAGGTCAAGCCAGTCCCTTCAAGGATGCCATCCATCCACCTTGTCCTTGGTCGGCCCCTCTTCCTTTTTCCTTCCACTTTCCCCAGCATAATTGTCTTCTCTAGGCTTTCCTGTCTCCTCATGATGTGGCCAAAGGCCTCTCATCTCCTTCCCTCCAATGAGCAGTCGGGCTTTCTTTCCTGGACTGGTTGGATCTTCTCTCGGTCCAAGGCACTCTCAGAACTTTCCTCCAGCACCACAGTTCAAAAGCGTCTCTCTTCCTTCTCTCAGCCTTCCATATGGTCCATCTCTCACATCCATAGGTGACTACGGGGAATACCATTGCTTTGACTATGTAGATTTTCGTT